CATGTGTGGTGGTGTTCGGTCGGTCGTCATCATCGTCAGCAGCAGCAACATTGCTTTCGGCGCTTGACGCTTGGCGTAGCTTACATCAATGTGATGAATAAAGAGGTTAAGATGACTACATCTGAGTACTCTTTCTAGCATTCAGCACTGCGATGGAAGTGTGATTTTTTTTTTGGATTTTCGTTAATTTTCATTGAACGTTCGCTCGCCTTGCCACATCATCCTCAAAGCTCTATCAATGTACCCAGCAACCAAACGTTTGTGGCCAAATGCGTAACAGTATTGAAGTGGTACATACACATTCTCGCAATGACCGAATACCATATGACCTTGTCATTTAACCAGAAACACTTCGAATTAAGGTAAGGTTTTCTGAAAACCAAAAAATCTCGAAGTTTATATGATTGATCACGAATATCTAGCGAATGGAAAATTTGAGCAAGAACACGACCGAGTGGCGGGCTGGAAGTGGAAGAAAATCGAAGACAGCTGACCCTGTGAAGGCCCTGAAGGTGTTGGATTATTTCAAGCGTAATCCGAACTTTTCGATTCGCGATGCTGCTCTGAAGGCGTCCGCCTGGTTCGTTCAGTAAACCATGAAACGAGCTGGGCTTCGTGTATTCAAAACACGGCGGCCAAATCCCGCGCAAGGAAGCTGTATCGAGAGTGGTTAACGAAACCGATGTATGTGGTTATGGATGACGAAACCTACATCAAGGCAGACGCAAAGCAGATACCGGGGCTGGAGTTCTACGTTGCCAAATCACGGTTTGATGTTCCGGAAGACATAAGGAAGAAGAAAGTGGACAAATTCGCCAAAAAAATACTTGCTCTGGCAGGCCATATACCAATGCGGTAAACTGAGTAAACCGTACATCACAATGGATACCATCAACAGCGAAATTTACCGCACCGAGTGCCTCCAGAAGCGTCTGTTGCCCTTCCTGCGGTCTCACGGAGGCGAGACATTATTTTGGCCAGACCTGGCATCATGCCATTACGCGCGATCGACGTTGGATTGGTACAGATTCACCAGAGATTCGTCCGGTGGAAAGATTTTGGGCCATAATGAAGGCCAAAGTTCGAAAATCGTCCAAGGTGTTAAGAACGAGCTGGAGTTGAAGAAAAAATGGATGAAAGTGACCAAAAAGGTTGGCTCCAAAGTTGCACAAAATGTAATGAGGGGTCTTAAGGGAAAGGTGCGGGCTTTCAGCGATGGAAAGAAAATTGATTGAAGTAATTATGCCGAAACATAGTCCATATGTATTAGTTCATTCCCTGAAAGTTTCAAGAAAATCCGACTTAAAATAAATTTTTGGCGAACACTTTTGTCTGGTGCATTTTTTTCGAGTACAGGCCTAATTTCGTGACTAGGTGCGTCCAGCGGAGCTCTCTAATATTAGATTATTGAATTCCTATAGGCCATAATTAGAACACACCATAATAGGAACGAATAGCCATAATTGGAACACCTACGCTAGGTATGATCCATACAATTAACATATATTTTCATGTTTCGGAAAATTGCTCCATTACTGCGTAGCTACTCAGGTTTACTGTTCTGTGTTTTTTTTTTTGTCAGAAGAGTGGAGCGATACATGAAAGTATTTCTTAAGAAGATTCTGAAAGAAGCTTTCATATGAAGATTCTTAAGAAGGTGGTTATAGAAGCTTCTTTTGGAATCTAATGCCAGACGCTTGCCCGTCCCTCCGCACGTCTACCTAAAAAACACGGGCAGGACAGTAAATCAAAGTAGCTACCCGAGCAAAGTCGGTTAACAAAATGCAAGCAAATCGATATTAAAGTTTGCAGTTCCTATCATAATGAAAACTAATTTTGATTTCAACTGTCGCGGCAGAAGTCTGATATTATATTGTGCTTTCATCAAGACTTTTTAAATGAAAGCAGCTTAACTTCAAATTCAGCTGTTAACGTCTTGTTGAAAGTTTAATATAAGTTCATATGTCGTTGAACTAACAATTATTGTCTATTCGTTTTGTTTAACACATTTCAGGTCATTCGTGACCTGTCCGGAGAGATTTTAACTCAAGTCTTTTAGCTTTTAGAAGCATGGATGCTTACAATTTAAACCACACCCGTATTCAGTTAAATATTATGAATGCAAAATCAGTAATCTAATTGATTTCATTGAAAGCAGGATCAGTTTTCCGTTTGATTCAACAATGTAAAATTTTGCTCTCATTTTTGTTGTGTTAACCGTTAAGTCAACCAAAATGAGATCAACTGGAGTATTCAAAATAAGTTACATCATAACAGCACATTTTGATTTCAATTTGATCTCCAGCTTTGCTCGGGTACGCAGTAATGGAGCTATTTTTCAAGGTTTATGGGTCAAGATTTATAAAATATTGTCGTCTACAACATGAATAAAATACTTCTAATTTATGGATCATGCCTATATTGTTAAGTGCGCAAACTTGATTTCCTATTGATCACTTTCTTTAGTTTAAGGTTCATTGCTGAAATTCTTATGGATCATTTACAATATGTTTATGGGTAATTCGTACAATTTCAATGCTCATTCATTAGATATTTTGCGGTACATTTTTAGAATTGTGTTGATAAATTTTAACTAAAATATGGATCAAATTGATATTTTTATGGATCATCCACACTTTTTTGAAATTTTCTCCGGTGTTTTATCGATCATTTGGATGTTTTGACGTAGGACTACGTCTGTGATTTCTATATGGGGATACACTTTGTGAAAACCGAAAATGGAACATGTAACGAAATTATGAACGATTTTGAACGTTAATAACTCGGCTGCCACTGGACCAATTTCTGTTTGATTTTTAACAAGAAACTATTGAAAGGTGGTAAATGTCAAGCATTGTCCAAAAGCTTCAAAATAATTAAAAAATCAATTACTAAAACTACGTGCATGCATATGCTGCTTTCCCAGTACAGTTATCAGAGAGTCGTTTCTAGACGAAACGTTAATCGTAAAGATTTTTCCAGCTATTCGATTAAATATTTATGGAATTTTTCAATTATTCGAGCGCGTAACCGACATCTTGTTTTGATTCTACTCGTTTGATTTAGCGCTGTAGAGAAAATAAATAAAAGTACTAGGGAAGAGCGCTACTTCGTCGTAATCGCCCATTTCCATTCTATCGAGTAGAAATCATCAATAATATCAATGATTTCACCATGCACAAAACAATAACACATTTGTTCCGATCCGTTAGTTCATAAGCCACAAGATGAAGCCTATTACAGCGCATTGTATCCATATTTACACTCATTGTTCTCAAAACAAAAGAAGCGCCTCTAGCAAATCCATTTTTTTTTACCATCATCCGTAGGACGAAGAAAATCTAATGTTGTTTCAATGCGTTAGGACGGTTAGGACGGAATTGAAACTCGTAGGACAAATTTAGATTGAAGAAACAGTGTTAGTTTTTTAATAATATCTCAACATTGTTTGATTCTTCATCGAATCCAACGGTACGTATGGAAAGGTGAATAAATTTAAAAGTAATCTCTGTTGAAAACATTCCATGTTTTGTTCAAACCCTTTAAAAAAGAGAGGTAAAGTGCAGTATGTGCTTAGTAGGACGGAAATAAGATCAAAAATCCTAATTTATCTGAACAGGTATAGAGAAGAACCAACGTGAAACAGGATCATAAATTTGCCGAAAAAAGTGTTAAGCGTCTTTCTGCTAAAGGTTAAGATTTACCAACTTGTTGAGAGAAGAAGTTTAACGAGGAAAACTAAAAAAAGGGAAGGAGCTTTAGCTAGGTGGACACTGATATTCTGCAACCTTCCAGACACCAGTTCAATCCCTGTCCAGCAGCAGACGGGCCGAGACTCTTGCGAGTGCCCAAACATTGAACCGAAGAATATGGGATTGTCCGGTCCTATGTGCTGATCCAGCTACCTACACGTCATCATCATCTCCCAAAGACTTTAAGCCTGTACTACCATCGGCTCTCTTCAGGACCACCAAACTTTTCCAAAAGAGTTAAATTTCTGAACATGTCCCAGCTAAAATTCAAATCAAAAGGTTCTTTTCAGGGCAAGCATAGTCATACTAAAAAGAGTGAATCTCGCTCAAATTCCTATTCCTACACTAAACACAAGCTTCTACTGCAGTTAACAAATAACATTTATTATATAAGACCACGTAGTCCTACGTCACCATTGCGTACAACCCCATACGGCTGTCCCTTGTAGTTTTTTAAGGAACGTTTTTCAATATTTTTTCGGATCGTTTTATCAATTCAAAAGGTGCTGTTAGTGTTTTTTTTTTTCTTTCTTGCTCACACCAATCAACGCAACGTCTACTATAATAAATTCGTTGGACTTTTGACGTCCCAAAAAGCGTAGGCTTTTTCATTCAGCTAATGTGCATCCCACGATCTTGAACGAAGCAGACAAAACAACCGTATTTCTCTATGACGACGGTCCGTACTATGCCAGCCATAGCCAACGGCAACGCTTGCCAAGATCGACATTAGTAGTAGACAACTCAAAACGCGAAACGCCTGCTACGATTGAGATTTATGATGAAATCTTGATTGTTTTCATCGTCGTCAGCGTAGCTGTTCCTAGGAAGAACACTCTTTCCCGTGCCAATTTCTTCACATTTTCTCTGATCATTCACCGGATGTCGCGTGTGTGACAAAAACAAGCGCAGATGTTGCAGGCCGTGACGCCATCACTTCGACGACACCGGAGAAAACACAAATCCTCCCTGCCGACACCCGCTACGCACGTGATCACACCGAGATCCAACCAAAGTGCTTGCTGTTCAAGATGTTCTGGTTCAACTCAATTAACTGTCACGCAAGATGTATGTTCGTTCATTATCGTCTGCTGAGAGCACAACCGAGAGATAGAGGAATACCCGAAAAGAAAACAGTTGTCGTTTGTACACTTTATATCTTCCCACTTTTTTTTCCACTTCCGGCTGATCCCGGTTTGTTTATCTTCGCCAGCATGTAACCCATCAAACATCAACCACACTAATTACCGTCAAGGCCTGTTCAGATTAATCCCATTTAAAAAGAAATAAAAACCACTCGCACAAACTGACAACCTTCGGTATTTGGACCTTCAAGGAAGAGATGAATTCACTTTCACGAAAGCCAACAAACACGACAACGACTTTCACCGTTACGATCGCGATCAAGACTGCAGGCGCAAACCTCTACGCGGTTTTCCGTTCCGTGCTACGGGGACAAGACCAGGATGACAGCCGCCCGGCGCGACTAAAATAGCACGACTGCGCAGTGACGATTGAGACGCCGAATATCTAATGGTCCATATGTTTATACCATCCGCCGCACCGTCAACGCTGGCCGCGATATAACGATGTGCTTCTCGTACACAAATAGGCATACAAATCGGGACCGAACCAAAACAAACCGCACTCCGCGCTGTGGATTACCTATATATGTACCGAATGATGTGGTGGTGGATGGAAGCAAGACGGTGATCTTGAAAGATGTTCTCAAGGATTCGGAAAGGTATATAAATTAATAAATTGAAAGATGGGGTAAACGAGGGAAATGCGAGACGGTTAAAAATACGACGTCGTGCGTTAAGTGAAATATTTCATTTTTTTCCACCGCTGCGGGGCCAGACCATATAAAATAGATTTTTTTTTGTGGATGGAAAATATCCACAACTTTGTCATCCATATGGACAGGGATTACGATATCACTACAAAATTGAGGAGAGTTTTTTTTTCCTTTTGAATGGTTCTTATGTCCCACACGAAAAATAAAACATAGGTCAGCCAAACAAAGTACGTTTCATTTTAAACAAAATGTTGAATAGAATATAGGTCAAAAAAATTACTAGGCAATTCAACAAAAACAGAGAGTTGAAATAATAATACTAACATCATCGAATCGTTATATATTTAAAAAATTTCAGCTTGAATCAATTTAAACCATTATTTAAATTAACGAACGGTATTAATTGTCTTAAATCATATATTTTTTTTAGAATCAATTTTTTTTTTTTGAATACATAAATAAAGCCATATGTTATAAAATAACCCTGTATTTTCAAAACCTGGATTCTAACATGTTGCTACTTCACAAACCGCTGTTTCTGTTGTGTGTTTCTGCAAATGTCTAGAGTAAGAATGTAATTCATTTGCTTTTGTCTATCTTTATTAGTTTTTGTTTGTCTTGTCCCCCCGTTTCGATGAGTCTCATCGTCGCCCAGTGGTCACCATAGCCGGTCGAACGCCAGGCGCACCACACTACCGTTCATACTGGCTACAACGCTCCGATGAGACAATGAAACCCCACCCCCAAGCTCCTCCCCTGATCCTATCCTTCGATAATGTACCTCGGGTAAGCCGCGACTATTCGGCTAGACAGTAGACTATAGTACTCGACAAAGAAATAAGTAAATTTTGTTAAAACAATGAACAGCTCCGTGAAGCTAACGCAATTAAGCCTACCAAATAAACGAACTAGATAAAAAAAAGTCACTGTCTCGCATAAAAAGCATTCGTTGTACTCCAAACTAAATTCTATCTAGGAAGCAAACCGTTAACTACTTTAAAATGAACACCATATTCAAATATACAATTGGGTTCTTTAATTTTGAAAAATATATTGGCTTTTATCATCTGAAAGAGCTTCGTTTTCTGAGCACAGCGATATTTTTTTCGAACCCACACACTTTCATCTCGATTTTTAAACCAAGATTTAAAGCAAAATAATAACTTCACTGTTTGACACTAAACTGACAAAATGACAGCTCGCACCCATACAAAGTGACACCGAGGGGCGGTAATAAGGTGATTTTTGGCCGGTGCCGGTGGTGTAGTGGTAAGCGTGACTGCTTTCTAACACCCCAATGGGTCTGGGTTCAATCCCAGCCGAGGTCGGTGGGATTTTTCTGAGGAAGGGAAGTAAAGCCGTTGGTCTCGGCCCATGTGTGTTGTGAATGGGTGCGATATCCTACGCAGGTGTGGAAGCTGCCTTCCTGCACATTCGATTGTCGTCAATGGATGGCAATCGATGTCCGTCGGTGATTGGCACTAGATTGCGGAACAGAGACCGACGTTTAATTAAAGGAAAGAAGAAGAAGAAGAAGAAGAAGAAGAAGAAGAAGAAGAAGAAGGTGATTTTTGCAAATGTAATCGTTCTTATTTAAAATAGTTCCATTGTACCAAAATTGATGAAATTTTGGGTATGGGTTCCATTTTTAATGCAGATTACGAATATGCATTTACCTCAACCCTTAAATAACCCAATTCTATGCTTCTCCGAAAACCATTGTAAGGCTTCTAGCATCAAAGTTGAGGAAGTGTATCAATTGCATTTCAAAGTCAAACGCATTATTTTATTCTGCAAGCGCTGCAATCACAATATTTGTGTTTCATTTACCAGAAATAAAATAGAAGGGTAAAAGTCTATAAGAGGAGAGATGATTGATTTGTATAGCTGACAATTGTTAAATCGTTTTTCAGTTGACAAAGAATTCCATACTGATTGGCAATTTTCTTGATGACATTGTCAATGTGAGAGTTGAACTTAAGTTTGACATCAATAGTCACGCCAAGATATTTAATCTCGCGAACGCGATCAATAGTCTCATTATCAATTACAACAGAGACGTTCACATTTACTCGATTCTGCGAAATTACCATAAATTTAGTTTTACTTGTATTCAATTTCAACTGCTTTTACTTAGAGAACGCAAATCTTCATTCAAGTGTAAAACGGCATCATCTAAATCCTTAGCTGCAATGAATAACACAGTATTATCTGCAAAAACGCGACACTAAGCAATACCGTAAAGCACGTGGCAAATCATTAATATACACAATAAATATTGCGCATTTTACACCAAACTGGACTAATAAGCGCGTTTTCACCTGCGAGCTTCCGTCTAATCGTCGTGGTGTCTTCGGTGCACTTATTTCTTATGATTCAAGCAATAAGTGCTCCGAAGACACCAAAACGATTTGACGCAAAGGTGCACTTTTATCACACTTTTTGCATTTTTGGGGCAGTCCACCCAACAAACAATTCAAAGTCACAAATAAGCATACATATTGAATAAATGCTGTATAACAGTGTACAATGCTGAATAAAACAGGATGTCGAATTATGTGCTGAAAAAAGCTCATTGAGATCGATACATGCGGCTTTATTCCGCCGTTTGCTCTAATATGATTAATTTACTTATTAAAAGCTATATAAACGTTGATTGTCTTCCTGATTCAAAACCAGCAGTTTGATCTGATAACAAACTGAATAAGTGTAATTGCACATACATTGTCGCTTTAATTTGACTGTTTTCAATTGCTTTAATAAAATGCTTTATTAAACTCTTATAAATGTTTTTTAGCTCCATTATTAGATTTCATTGCATTGCTTTACAATATTGCTGTATAAAGGTGAATACACTCAGCAAAATAGCTCTAATACCACCCAACAAACAATTCAGAGTCACAAATAACCATGTATATTGAATAAATGCTGTATAACAGTGTACAATGCTGAATAAAAAGAGTTGTCGAATTATGTGCTGAAAACGCTCATTGAGATCGATAGATGCACACAGGCTTGCAATTGCTCATTACAGCTAAAATGCTATTTTTCGTTATTATGAAACAATGGGATAATATAATGATAATTTTTATTTGTAAGATGCAAGAAGAGGTGGTACATTCCACTGCGTCCTAGCAAGAAGTACGGTCGACTTAGTTCGCGCTCCGCTATTTTGGAAGTTTTTTCGCTTTTCGCTTAATTTAAATTGTCAGTTTTTTCTCGCTTAGAGTTCCCAGCTAAATAATTAACTAAAAGTGAGTTTTTTCTGAGAAGAAAGTGTGTTTTCGGCATCATCGGAAGGAAAATTGTTATTGCGATTGCCAATTCGCCAACCATTTTGCGCACCATCGGTGCGTGGTAACGCATACCTGCACACGGATCATCGTCATCGAGTGTCAGCATCTGCCTTCGCATTTACACCGCTCATCTATCATCGTGTGTTCAGCTGAGTGCCGACCCTCACATAAGCACACACCAACGAAGACCGCCCGCACACGCTGATCGAAGATCATCCACGCTCAAGACGGTTTTATGACAGGTGGGCAGGAACTCACGGTCTCCCAGTGTTGGTGAGTTCTTTGCCGTTAATGTTCACGAAAAGTTCACTATTTTGCTATACAGAAATTCAAAACAAAAATTTTTATCTGCGGATTTGAACAGTTTTTGACCTGTTTCATACTACCGGAAGGTGTATGTTGGTCACAAATGCCGTGCCAAACTGATTTCCTACTCAATTAATCAATCTTTGATGTGAAATTCGCTAATAAACACGAGGCGCATTTCTTATAGCAAACATGCCATAACAAAATGGGCATGGTTCATTTTAGTAAACAAACTAACACTTCTTCCGACTGTGACACCTATGAATTAGGCGCCGAGGGCTCAGATAAACCCCCGATCGCGAGCCTATCCAGATGACTCGACTGGCCCATGGGTTGTCTACTTTCAGCCCAGAAACAAACCTTTGAATGTAATGCAAATTACTAATGATCTGACGAAGCGATACTCGGCCGTGACTGAAATCACGAAGGTTAGGCACAATAAACTTCGTGTCTCCGTCTCTAACCTGAAGCAGGCTAACGAGATTGCTGCCTCCCAGCTCTTCACGCTCGAGTACAGAGTTTACATCCCAGCTCGTGATGTGGAGATCGAAGGTGTGGTCACCGAAGCGAGTCTGACCCCCGAGATCTTGGAGAAGCAGGCGGTTGGCCGTTTCAAGAACCGTTTGCTTCCTCCGGTGAAGATACTGGATGTCCAAAAACTGGGCTCAGTATCTGTCAGCGAGGGTAAAAAGAGTTTTACCCCCACAGACTCGTTCCGTGTGACCTTTTCTGGTTCAGCCCTTCCTCACTACATCGAGCTGGGAAAACTTCGACTACCTGTGCGCTTGTTCGTTCCCCGGGTCATGAACTGCCAAAACTGTAAGCAGTAGGGACATACGGCCTCCCACTGTGGCAGCAAGGCACGCTGTTCCAAATGCGGAGAGAAGCATGGGGATGACACCTGTGCAGCTACCGCACCAAAATGCGTGTACTGTAAGGGAACTCCTCATGGTATCTCGTCATGCCCGGTGTACAAACAAC